ATTGAAGTGGCCCAGTTGAGTCTTTAGTTCTTATTGAAGTGGTCCAGGTGAGTCTTTAGTTCTTATTGAAGTGGTCCAGGTGAGTCTTTAGTTCTTATTGACGTGGTCCAGGTGAGTCTTTAGTTCTTATTGAAGTGGTCCAGGTGAGTCTTTAGTTCTTATTGAAGTGGCCCAGTTGAATCTTTAGTTCTTATTGAAGTGGTCCAGGTGAGTCTTTAGTTCTTGTTGAAGTGGTCCAGGTGAGTCTTTAGTTCTTGTTGAAGTGGTCCAGTTGAGTCTTTAGTTCTTGTTGAAGTGGTCCAGTTGAGTCTTTAGTTCTTGTTGAAGTGGTCCAGTTGAGTCTTTAGTTCTTGTTGAGGTGGCCCAGTTGAGTCTTTAGTTCTTATTGAAGTTGTCCAGTTGAGTCTTTAGTTCTTGTTGAGGTGGCCCAGTTGAGTCTTTAGTTCTTGTTGAGGTGGCCCAGTTGAGTCTTTAGTTCTTATTGAAGTGGCCCAGTTGAGTCTTTAGTTCTTGTTGAAGTGGTCCAGGTGAGTCTTTAGTTCTTGTTGAAGTGGTCCAGGTGAGTCTTTAGTTCTTGTTGAAGTGGTCCAGGTGAGTCTTTAGTTCTTGTTGACGTGGTCCAGGTGAGTCTTTAGTTCTTATTGAAGTGGTCCAGGTGAGTCTTTAGTTCTTATTGAAGTGGTTCAGGAGAGTCTTTAGTTCGTATTGAAGTGGTCCAGGTGAGTCTTTAGTTCGTATTGAAGTGGTCCAGGTGAGTCTTTAGTTCGTATTGAAGTGGTCTAGGAGAGTCTTTAGTTCGTGTTGAAGTGGCCCAAGAGAGTCTTTAGTTCTCATTGATCCTCTGAACCATGTTATTCCATGAACCCTGTGACGTCCTCAGGAGATCCACAGTAAACAGAAGAGCGGTGCGGTGGAGGACTCTCCTCGTCGAGGCCCAGAATCCCTCCCTGTGGGACACCATGACATCATCACCGACATCGCCACCTTTCAGACGACGCAGGGCTTCATCGTGACGTCGTCCAGAGACGGGATCGTCAAAGTGTGGAAGTGAGAAACACTTTGAGTTCAGTTAGGCCTCTTCAGCGCTTCCTGTCGTTGATAAGCTCCGCCTCCTCCTCCTATTGGCTGCATCTGAAGACACAAACGTCTCACAGAGGGAATAAAATATGAATACGTACAAACTATATTTAAATGTACTGTAATATTCTGCTTCAATCCACATTATGGAAATTGATCTGGTTAAAAATGACTTTATTCAAATTGAGGATTTTATTTTTTTGGAGGGTGATGTCATAAAATGTCATCATATTCAAAAACTTCAGTAGAAGAGATTTTGGTTCCGCCTGTATCATAATTATATTTAATTATTATTTTTAAATATTATTATTAATAGTGTTACTATTAATGATATTATTATTAATGCGAATATGAATTATATTATTATTGTGAATATTAATGATATTATTAATAAGAATATGAATATTGTTGTTTAATATTAATAATACAGATTGTTGAATTACCATATTATTGAAATATGAATCCCACACGTTCTCTCTGACTCCTGCCGGTTTCTTTAGACTCAGTTTGCTGGTCTGGACCAGAACCAGCTCTTTACTGGACATTTGATTCCAATTGAATATGTTAATAATCATCTGTTAACTGGAGCGATATCTTTTATTTGTTTTCTATCAGAACAGAATCCTCATTAAATATATGAAATGAGTCACCTGATCTCGTGTGAATATGAATCACTATCCTGTATAATATATCTAAACATTAAACTATAATGGTTCTCTGAACGTTTGAGCCCAAAATAACATGTCTTTCTGTATATGTTTTAATATTATGCTTCATTTCATGTTTGTCCAGCTGTTCAATAAAAACAAACATCTGTTCTCATTTTATTGATTGTGGTTTTAATAAGAAATAACTTGAGATATTTCTCATTCTTGATTCATATGCAGATTAGTTTCTGATGTATTAATCTATGAAATATAAAGTTTATATTGGGCCACAGTGATTTCATTCTTGATTCATATGCAGATTAGTTTCTGATGTATTAATCTATGAAATATAAAGTTTATATTGGGCCACAGTGATTTCATTAATACTTCATATTTATTTACTGTCAAATGAAAACAAAATCATCACAGATGTTTCAGCTCTGATCAGATTAATCAGATAATAATAATCTATATATTTTTATATAAAATCAGTCTTTCTGTGCCGCCTGTTAACTTTATCATCATTTACACTAACCAGCTGCAGGTTTCTTCATCATGGACATCTGTCAACAAACAGCTTTTCTTAAAGTCTTTATTGTGTTTTTTACATGAAGCACCATCTGTCGGTTTGATAAACCAGTGATCTTTAGGTCAGACAGACACGCAGACAGAGACATTTCAGACCTTTGAAGACTCAGACTTAAACCACTTCAGGTTCATATTAGTGGAACAAACTGAACCAGGTTCTGGTTGACCCCCTAACCTCAGCAGCTCCAGTTCACTTTCATCCTTTACAACATTATCTGGCTCTTATTTTCAAAGTTTGGTTCATCAGTTGATGTCAGGAAACAAGTCTGAAGTCAGGAGACGAGTCTGAAGATGAGTCCGAAGCCACGAGACGAGTCCGAAGTCACGAGTCCGAAGACCCGAGACGTGTCCGAAGTCAGGAGACGAGTCTGAAGTCAGACTTTGACGTTGACGTCTACCATCTACTACGATGACCAAACTGTGAAAGTAACACTCAGATGTTTGCTGGATTTCTGGAAGCTGAAGTACAAACACTTATTTGTAATAAAACGGTGCAATAAACGGTAAGAAATAACGGTTTCATATCTTACATCATAAACACTTTAAGAATTGGAGAAAATTCAAGATAAGGTTTTACAATAAAATGAATCGACCCTCTTTACCTGCAGTTACGTTCAAACATTTATGATGGTTACATCTTTCACTTAAAAACACTTCAATGTTTCTGATTTCTGATTCTGTCAAACTTCTTTATAAAGACAGCTGAAAAGAAGTGAGCGTCCGTCAAGTTGAACCAACGTCCATCAGAGTTTAGTGTTAAAAGAACAAAACATGTTGAATAGTGGGTTTTAAATCACGAATTGAGGGTTTTAAACTTTATTTTAAATTTTTATTATACCATATTTCTCCCGTTAAGGGGGAAATTTGTCTCTGCATTTGACCCATCCCTGTATATAGGGAGCAGTCGGCTGCCTATGACAGGCGCCCGGGGAGCCGTTAGGGGTTCAATGTAGGGACATTTCAACACATGACATGTCTCAGCCAAGGATCGAACCGTTGACCTTGCGGCGAATTGAGGGTTTTAATAAATCATGAATTAAGGCTTTTAAGTCCTGGAGAAGTCACTTTGCTGCGTTTCCTTGAAGATGCGGACATTGGTGGTTTATCGTCAGACTCTTCGTCCTCCTCATTGACTCTTCGTCACACAGAGGTTCTCACAGTCCTCTTGAGTCTTGAAGCGGTTCTCGTTGCCGCCGCAGCCGCCGAACCAGAAGCGAGAACATTCCTTCTGCTGGCTGTCGAAGAACCACATCATGGTGTAGTTCTGACAGCTGCCTTGGTCCTGACTGAGGAGACAGCTGTCTGTAACATGGACAGATCATTTAGTTTATACAGGCGAGTAGTCGCGTAGTTTATACAGGCGAGTAGTC